TTAGGCCGGCTCTCCCGCCATCTGAGGCCGGCTTTCCTGCCATCTGAGGCCGGCTCTCCTGCCATCTGAGGCCGACTCTCCTGCCATCTGAGGCCGGCTCTCCTGCCATCTGAGGCCGGCTCTCCTGCCATCTGAGGCCGGCTCTCCTGCCATCTGAGGCCGGCTCTCCTGCCATCTGAGGCCGACTCTCCTGCCATCTGAGGCTGGCTCTCCTGCCATCTGAGGCCGGCTCTCCTGCCATCTGAGGCCGACTCTCCTGCCATCTGGGGCCGGCTTTCCTGCCATCTGAGGCCGGCTCTCCTGCCATCTGAGGCCGGCTCTCCTGCCATCTGAGGCCGACTCTCCTGCCATCTGAGGCTGGCTCTCCTGCCATCTGAGGCTGGCTCTCCTGCCATCTGAGGCCGACTCTCCTGCCATCTGAGGCTGGCTCTCCTGCCATCTGAGGCCGACTCTCCTGCCATCTGAGGCTGGCTCTCCTGCCATCTGAGGCCGACTCTCCTGCCATCTGAGGCCGGCTCTGCTGCCATCTGAGGTCGGCACTCCTGCCAAACGCCGTCCGCAAGTGACCACCCACGACGGCAGAGGTGACGACGGCCGCTCTTGGCTTTTGCCTGTCACGCTATGGACTAGAGTCTTTCGTACATGACACAGCTTACAGTGACGTCACGGCTAGGTCATCTGAAGCTGTCTGAGGAAAGTACTTTTCCAGTGAGGAACTGGTCCCTGAAGTCACTAAATGCCAAGGTCAGCCGCCCAGCGCTGCCGTTAGCTGAGGGGAAGACGAGCCAGCCGGCACCGGACGGTCATCCGCCATACCCCGGCGTCCAGCTTCGCACCTCACCGTGCCGGCCGGTGCACCCGCTCCATGGATCAGACAGACGCGGTCAGCAATGGGGCGTCCGTCAAGAGCTGCTCGGTGTCCGCTCGACCGGTCACCGCTGACCCGACATGACGTCACGTCGGCCTGGCCCGGTGTTTACAGCGCGCCACCACCGTCTGGGGGCAGCGCGGTGGCGCCATGCGACCGCGCCAATGGCAGCGCGCGCCGGCGCGTGGCGTCACGCCAGCCGCACGCTTCTGCGGCGCATCGGACGGCCGGGGCTGGCTGATGCGCCGAGGCCATCGGGTCAGGGAGGGCGTCACATTCGGACGACCGTTACGGACGGGTGGTCGGACATGTCTGGTCGGTTATCTGCTCCGGGCTCTGCGTACGCGGACATGGGCGGACGACTGTTACGGACGCGTGGTGGGACGTGTCTGGTCGATTAGCTGCTCCGGGCTCTGCGAACGCGGGCATGGGCGGACGACTGTGACGGACGCGGGGTCGGACATGTCTGGTCGGTTATCTGCTCCGGGCTCTGCGTACGCGGACATGGGCGACTACTGTTACGACGGACGGCGTGTGTGACGTGTCTGGTCGATTGAGATCCTCCGGCTCTCGACAACGCGGGCATGGGCGGACGACTGTGACGGACGCGGGGTCGGACATGTTTGGTTGGTTATCTGCTCCGGGCTCTGCGTACGCGGACATGGGCGGACGACTGTTGCGGACGCGGGGTGGGACATGTCTGGTCGATTAGCTGCTCCGGGCTCTGCGTACGCGGACATGGGCGGATCCCATTTTGGATCTCAGGAGGGACCTCAAGATCGTTTTTGGGTCAAGTTTTGGTGTGGTGCCGCTTACACTAAAATGAGCCGAAAATGGTGCTAATGCATGTGTTTTCATCGTCCTAGGGTGAAAACACGTACATTGCGATAGGGGTGATGACCTCCATCACAGCCATTGCCCCTCCCCCTCCCTCCGTATCTGCCCTTGTATACGGATCTACGTCACTATGCGCACGTGCAGATGCGGGGCGATTAACGTGCCTGTGGCTGTAATAGCTCGTTTTCTGCGGCAAATGGACTGTGCTACGACTGTCATAAACAGGCGTCAGATGCTCACCAGAGCTGGGGCAGGACGGCCTCCGTGCCGGTGCGGTGACTCGGACGCGGTTAGGAAGTACGGAGAGCGATGATGCCTTTTTCAGAGAGGTGGATTGCAATTGTTATCCCTTGGCAACGATGTCGCCCCAAGTGTTCTGTGAAGGTTAACAGCGTTCAGATGAAGGTGGCGTGCATGTTGCATCAACTTCCTCGGCGGGGCTGGGGCTGTTACCGTTTCCACAGCTGTCGGCGGTTACTTCTTACGCGGCATTCATTCTCCTGTCTCGGACACGTGGTGCGTGTTCGCCCCATGCGGCTCCAGGCGATGAATCAGATCAGGTCGCCACAGAAACGACAGGCCGCCGGGCAGTCCACAGCGTGTCGTAGTTGGGAGCGCTGGCGTTCTGTGTCTGTGTGTGCGACAGGACGGCTACCTACCGGGAGGTGGAGACGGCGACGGCGGCGCCCCGGTCCTCCGGTAGCTCGGGCCGCCGCGCCGTGTCGAGGCTCGCCGCCGGCTGCCGACGGGGGCTCTGCGCGTCCTGTCCGGAGCGGCCTTCCCCCGTGCAGTGACGCGCCTCGCCTCCCAGTTAGCGCAGGTGTCGTCAGTCGAGGCGTTCAGAGCAGAGCGATTCTCAGGACAACACGCTAGCGGAGGGGAACTACCGCGCCGGCCGCTGCTGCAGCCCGATTTGTGACGTCACGGGCGTGGAGGGGAGGGGGGCAGTGGCGCCATGTCGTCAGCGTGCGGCACTCCCTGGCCGGGCGGGCTCGGTTTCGGCCTCGGCATCTCTTCGGATGACTCAGCATCTGGCCCGCAGTAGAGTCCTGCCGGCGGCCACGGTAGCTGCGCCGTTAACTGAGCAGTAAACTGGAGAATCACAGGACCCCGGCGGTTGTTCCCCGCCGTCCGGATCTCAGTGTGCGACCCTATCGGTTGTTGGAGAGGGGAGCACTCATTTATGGCTCCGATTGGACTCGCGCCAACAGCATCTGTAGGGCCTGCTGGACAGGGGTGAGTGCGGTGGTGCACCCCTCGCGACGAAGGGAGGGATGGAGGGGGGAGGGGTATCAGTCGTCGGATGCCGCGCTCAGCTAACACACACACACCAGTGCATTGTACCTGCTCCCGCTTCACTATTCCGCGTCTGTTGGCTGGGCAAGCAGGCCGACCTCTGTTTCGGGTCACCGGCGAAGGCCGTGACAGATGCGCGGTGTGGGGCCGGTCGGCGTGGCGGCACCTGGAGCGGCCCGGGCACGCCGCCGTGCGCCGACACCGTAACGCGACCCCTTGCCGCCGGCCGCCGGAACGGCCGCTCGCCGCCGCGCGCGCGCGCTCCGATCTGGGTCAGCCGGCACCGTGTCTTTGTCCGGGCACTCACAACTGGCCACGCTCGTCACGGGCGGCGGCGCTCGGAGGCCGCCGTCGGGAGCGGCTACTCCTGTTACTGTGGCGGCTGTGTGCCGCACGCTGGCCTCGGCGCCCGGCGCTGAGTGAGCGGGCTGAAGCAAACCGGCAGGGTTTCGGCGTCCGTGGTAGAGGCCCAGCCCGGCCTGTTGTGATCTGTCGTTCCGGCGGATTCGGAGGCGTGCGTGCCAATCCAGCCCGCCAGTCTGGCGGCGATGCGACCAGCGCTGACGTTAACCGGACCCGGGGCGCCCAGCGGAACGGCACAGCGCTAACCCGGCGGGGCTGACGTCCAGCGGAGCTGGCTTCGGGCGCGGGTGGAGGAAGAGCTCCAGATACAGACGCTCAGGGCGGGCCCGTGACAGCTGACAAATGACGCGTCTCGTCACTCAAGGTCCAGCGTACGTGACTGGCGGCGAGCTGAAGCATGCCAGACACTACTGTTGGGCTCCGAGCCAACAACAGGCGGCAGCGCATTGTCACTGACTGCTCGACTCGGAGCCTCGGCACATAATATTGACCATCAGCCTGAGTCACATCGCGCAATCTCACATGGTGGCGCCGCCTACCAAGCGACGGCTGGAGAGCGCACAGCTCAATACGGTGTTCAACCGCGACCTCTCCCGCTCGTGCCCCGCGGCGAAACCGCCTCGTATCTCCACCATCGTGTCCGGGGTCGCGCAGGTCAGCGGCGGCAAACAGTCGAGTGAGCTGTTGGCGGCGCTTTCGTTGACGCCCGGCGCGCGGCTGCGGCGCGGGGCGCGTCGTTTCTCCTGCGGCGGCCCGCCCCCGTGACCCAAATCGCGGCCCCGGTCGTGACCCGCTGGTGGCGTGGCGGGGCCCGGCCTGACCTCGGAGCGCAGCGCGGCGCCCGCGCTCGGTCGCGATCGCCAGGGCCGTGCGCCGCCGCCAACCCGGCCGCCCGCACCGAACGCGGCAGGTGCGCTCTCCTCGCTTGAGCTGGCGCCGATAGCGTCGCGGCACCGGCGGCCGGCTCGGTAGCCACGCACCGAGCGGCAGCGGACGGCGCGCGGCCGAGTCATGGGAGAACGTTTCCCGTCTGCCGCTGGATTGCGCAACCTGTGGTTTGCATTGTGTCAGAGACGGCCTCTCTCCCTCCGGCGGCCGGTCGGCGCGTCGGCTCTGCGCTCGGTCTGAGCTCCGAAGGCAGACAGCGGCGGCTGCGTGCCTGGTCGCTGCCGCGGAAGACTGCGGCGCGCTGGTTGTTCGCGGGACTGCTGCGGACCTTCCCGAGCAACTGACTGGCGTCCATGTTGGGCAGAAACGTTTATGACTGGTGACTGGCGTTTCTCGAGCGTGCATGTATGATCGATATCTGATCAACACGTTTGAGACTCGAGTTCTGCGAAGTTTGTCGGACGCATGGGCAACACATCAGTGCGTCAATCGCACGTATCACGGTCAATCTCACATCTCATGCCAGCACGCTGTGCCTGGAAGCGCGCGTTATCGGCAGTTTGCCGCCGTCCCCATTTGTGTGTGTGTGTGTGTGTGTGTGTGTGTGTGTGTGTGTGTGTGTGTGTGTGTGTGTGTGTGTGTGTGTGTGTGTGTGTGTGCGTGTGCGTGTGCGTGTGTGTGGTGCTGCGCTGGCCGCATCTGATCGCTGCGCGCCTGTCTCTGACCACCCCTGGGCTTTGTGTTGCAGTGCCGCGGATGGCTACCACCGAGAACCAGATTCGGTTCAGCGGCCACACGCTGGACAAGGCCGTCAAGGCCAAGGTCACCCTGGAGAACTACTACAGCAACCTGCTGCACCAGAATCTCGAGCGGAAGCAGAGGTCAGTCAAGTGGTGCGGGTGGGCGCCGCGGTAGACAACTGACCTGACCCTGGCGGGCCCCGCTCCGTGACGCTGTCGTGGGACGCCGGGGCTCGCTGGGGTACGACGTCAGGTTATCACCAATGAAAAATGTCATTAATATATCCACTTCATGGCCCCCGCCCCCGTCCCCCTTTGTCGCCACCTGCAACGTAGTCAATAGGCAGCAGCGCCTCACGAGCCTCACGTGTGTGGGACAAACGACGCATTCGTCTGTCCTTGGAGGCTATGGCAAGGGGCCGTCGTCGCCGCTGTCCGTTGTGTATCAGTATCACTCGCAATCTATTGAGCGCATGCCTCGCCAGTTCTGCAGTCTGTCGCACCACGGAAAGCGGGCGGGCGATGTTTGGCATTGCCAGCAGACGGTTCTCCGGGGCGCATGATATTGAAGGCGCTCTGTGCTCCTCGAGTAAAAAGTTGTTTATGTGGGGTACGCATGGTTTGGGCAAACCCAGCACAAGCCCGTAGCACTCGTACCGTATCGTCAGTTTGACGTGCATGGCTGCTACTGGCTGCTGTGAAACAATGACGGCCGCCAGCTCCCGTCAAGGCCAAACCAGACGCGTGGCAGGAAGCCGTTGAGAGTGGCGTCATATGCACCGGCCGTGACGTAACATTGCAATTTAGAGTTGCGTGTTTGCGATTGGGCTGGAGGCGATCCGTTGCTTGAAAGCTGTCGCGCGACGGGGCGCTCCTACCGCACAGTTGTTGGGCCGTTGTTGGTCGTGCCGAGAGTGGGTGGGCCAGCGGGTGCCGAGGTCGAGCGGTGACTGTCCACGTGGGCTCGCTCCACTCAGTGCCGCCCAGCTCCGTGTCTCCACGGCCGCTGCCGCCCCCGCCATCCTCTCGCCTCATTGCCAGTCGGTGGTTCAAGCGGAGATTCGTGGGCTGAAGTTGTGTTAAGCCTCCTCGCCTGCGGAAGACCGCTGTGTGCGGGATGCTGAGTGGCGCCGCCCGGGGGCCGGAATCTCGGACCGCGGCTGAGCCACAGCGCGGCCATAGAAAACACCATTAACCGTCGACCGTTTCATTGGGCGCCTCATGATAGCCTGGCCAAATTATGATTGGCGTTAATTTGACGCGCTCGGCCACTGAACCGGACGCAGTTTTTACACGGTCGTGCAGACCGGCCGGCGGGCGAGGAGCGCCTGCGGCCTGCACTGGCCGGCGCTCTGTGTGAGGCGTCCGCGGGCGGCGGGCGGCGATGAACGGCGCTGCGTTACACTCGTGGGATGTAGCCACACACTGCATTGGTGGGCCTCGACCGCTTTGTGGCTCTGCCGTGAGCTGACAGGACCTGCCGACCCTGCTGTCGCGGGGGCTGTCCCTGTTTGCTGCAGTAGGCTTCTGTCTCTGTGGCCTGTCTCCGAACCCATCCCCGTCGTCATCAGCAGGCGGTGCTGCCCCTGGTCCGCCGGCGCCGCCGCGGCCGACGCTGATCCGGTACCGGCGAGCGGCGCCGGCTTTGTCAGCCTTGGCCTTGACACGAGTCGGCCGTCGCCGCCTGGATCGGGTCGGCTTCCGGCGCCGCCGGTGACTAATCTGCCGCTGATGGCCAGCCGGCCGAGCCTGGCACCGGCCGGCCGCTCGCCGCCGGCCGCACCCCGCATGTACCGCGCTCGGTGTGACCGGCGATGACGAGGTGCGGGACCCACCGGCCCAGTCAAACGGCTGTCACCGCACCGACCAGTGTCTCGTGTGGCGCCAGCTGGTGCGCGTGCGAGCGGGGCGTGTGCGCGCCCCGCACACGCGCACGCGGCGATGAGTGGGTGGTCCGACCCCGGGGAGGACGGCCGACCGCGGCGACGACGGCGGCCGGACTCGGCGCACATGGACGAATCGCTCTGTCGGCGGCGCTGGTAAAAACGGTACCGGTTCTGCCGGCGAAGGCTGGCCGCCGGTGGGCGGACACGCGGCCCGCTCGTCATCGCTGGACGTCCGGTCGGCGAAAACGTCACCGGTGCGCAGCAACGCCCGCCAGACTGGCCTCACCGCCGGGGCGGGGCAGGCTCGGCTTCATGACGCACCAAGGACTGGGCGTTGCACACTTGTGTGCGTTTCAGTTTTGCGTTGGGCCTGTCGGTTGACCCACTTGGCGAGACCTGAACACAGGTGCGCCTAGACGGGTGAGTGCCTCCGGGGCCGGCGCGGCCGCCGGGTCGGCTCAGCCGAGCGCGCTCCGTGCTGATGTGGGACAGCCAGCCGGCATGTGGGACCGAGTGTGCCGGCCGCCTTCGCTGCCACACCTGTTTCGCCCCGAGCTCAGGTGAAACGGCAGACTCGGCCTGCCAGCCTTGACACAGATCGACCGCAGCGCAAACGACGCCCATCGTTCCGCCCTGCTCTTGATAGCCGGCACACCAACAAGCTATCGGTCGGGATCACATGGAAACACACACAGTACGACGCACGGCAGAGAAACGGCTCACAGATGGTCAACCTTTATAACACCAGAACCCACTCATTAAGTAAGTTTGCCCTCCACACGCGTGCCTGGCTCGGACCAAAAATGCGCTCCGGGGTGCGACGAGAAAAGCCATATATCTCATCATTTAACATCTACACAGTTTCATCCTGATGCATTTGATGCGCTTTTTTCTCAGACGTTTGCTTGTTACTAAGTGATATTTCTGCGAAGGCTGGTTTGAACATGAGACGTGTAGGGGACGACAGCAGCGTGTTGATGCCATCCACACGCGAGGAGACACTTTAAATCCGAAGTATTACAGAGCCATGAGCCGAAGCATGAAGTAAAAAGTCACAGTAGCTCAGTTGTCCTGTGTTTAGTTAGTTAAAAAGCTGCTTTTCGGAATTGCAAACCGTTCTTGTCCCAAAAAGCTGATAACGCGTTTGCTAGGTTCAGTCGGTGCGCGGTTCAGGTTCGCTTCGTGTCCATTGAAATAGGTTATCAACACACCCGGCTGCAAAGCCTTTTTAGTGACAGACCCGGCGTAGCGTCCGTGGTGTTCATCGACTAGAAAAATATTTCAAAAGTTGGAAATGCCAGCTGACCAGACCCTGAAGTACCAGGTGCGCAGAGCCTCATTTGTGCGCAGTGAAGACTAGTCATCAGTGGCGCCCTTCCCATTGGCACTCGGGCTCACGCCCGTAGCGTTCTGCACACGCTGTCCTGATTGGTTTGGTGCCGTTCTGTCAAGGTGCGGTGTGATTGCGTGGTGACTCGCGTCTGGTCGCCAAGCCCGGGCTCGGCGCGGCACCGAACCTGGCCCGCTTGTCCGCCGTCGGCGGGAGCACGGCCCCTCCCTCACTACAGCCAGCGGTGCCGAGCTTTGTCCGCGATCCGCACGGCACTGTTTATGATACGCTCTGTTTGCATGGCAACCCAGTACGTGCCATTTCAGTCGTCCCGGCCGTGTTCACACTGGGCTTGTTTAGCGCTGCAATCCCGAAATACAGCACACGCTGCCACACTGTTACCCATTGCATCATGTTAAGCTTGTAACCAATCCCAAATCAACAACAGTACGGCATGGTGCGCTGAAGGCAGTTTAACGCGCCGCGTGGGTGGGGGGGGGGGGGCGTATACGCGTGCCCGTGCCGCGCCTGGTAACAGAAGGCGGCCGCGGTGTGGTGTGGGAGCGGAGAGGGGGCGGGCCGACAGTTTGAGGTCAGACCGGGCGGGGACTGACGGCCTGCCGACAGCTGGCTCTCGCAGCGCCCAGCGTGGCCGCGCCGCTCGGCTGCCGATGTGGAGGGCGCATTCGAGCTGCGCTTCAGGTCAGCTCGAGTCAACACTCGATCGAGATGACTCTGAATGACCTGTGGGCGGACGTGCGACGGCTGGTGTTGGCCTGCCGCGGCGGTGGCGGTGACCCGGCGGTGAGTCGCGCGCCGGCTGCAGGAGGTGTTCGGGGCCGCACGGCGCCGTCCCTGGCACTTGGTCGATCACGCCGCCGCCGGCCGAACCGGAACCGGCGCGCCGGCCCCCACACGCCACTCACGAAGGCGGAACGGGCCGAGCGGCACGAACACACCGCCCGGGCCCTTTCACGGACAGCCTCTGACCTCTCGAGAACTCCATTCCCTCCCGCTCGTCTGGCGTCGGCCCGGTGACTCTGCTTTCGACGCGTGTTGACCCGCGCGCCACTATGTGGTGCGCTGCCTTATTGCCGGCCGGTTTGTTTGTTCGCCGCCGGCGGCGGCCGACAGCCGACCGCTCGGTGACGGTGCCGTGCCCTCACCAGTTCCAGTGCGTGCCGCCGGCGTGTCGGCGCCGCTCGGTGGCGGTGCCGTGCCCTCACCATTTCCAGCGCGTGCGGCCGGTGTGCCGGCGCCGCGCGGTGGGGCTTCCCCGCCTGGCCAGAGTGGGCCGCGCGCCCCGACAGCGGGAGCCGACGCCACCTCTGAGCCTGTGCGCCGGCGCCGGTGGCCGTGGCGGACGGGAAAGCCGGCCGCCAGCGCCGACGCACGGCCCGCCGGACGTGCAGCGGCGGCCGGGTGTGGCGCCGCCCGCGCTGCACGCTCTTGCACAGGGGCCGCTTTCTCCGGCCGCCGGCTGGTGGCAGGTCGAGTGGCGGCTGACCCAGCGGCCCCGCGCGTCTCGCCGGTAACGGGAAGCCAGCGTGTGGCGGCGGAGACTGCCGCGGAAAAGGCGGTCGGCCGGCCGGCCGGCGCGCCGCGCCGCGCCGCGCCGCGCCGCGGTCACAGCGTCCGCTCCGAGTCCGACACCACCGTTCGCTGCGGGAGGGAGCCGGCCGGGCACGCCACCCAAGGGTCACGCTGGATGGGCCTTTTGAGCGGCGCCCAATAGCCAGGCAATGGCGGGCAAACGGGTGTGCCGCGATGTCAACAACATGTGGCAGTCGAGAGTTGGAGGCCGTGTTGGTAACGGTGCGCGGTGGTAACGGGCCACTGAAGGCCGCGCCGCGTTCGCCGCGGCTGGTCCGTCGCCTGGCTCCAGTCGGCGCAGCCAACACGTGCAGTCGGTCGCATCGGTGCACCCGTTGGTGGATTACGCCCAGCGGTGGCTTTGTGACGCGATCAAAGTTTCCGCTCGCCACGTGCGGTCCGCGTTGTGGGGCACGTGGGCCTTTCAGGGCGTTGCTTGTTAACGGCGCCTCCCACGTGCAGGCTGGCGCTGTTACGGTAGAGGTGCCCGTCAGGTCAGATGGGGGGACGGACGTCCGTCCAACCGGCGGGAAGCGTTGCCACATCGGCGTTAGCGTCGCGCCACGCTGTCTGCACGTGGCCTGTTCCCGGACGCCGCGCACGGGCCGCTGTGCATGCGAAATGGTGATGGGAGACGCGGCGATAGGGATCGGTCGTGACGCCCTCACAGCGGGTCCGGCGCCCTTGCGCAACTGAGCGTCTCTCTGTGCAGGGGTTGCCGAGAAGTGGCAAGGTAAGCGCCGGTCGGAGCGGCGCCGAAGGACCGCTGTCGCAACCGCTGCCATTTGTCCGGTGCCGCGAGCCGTCCGGACCCTTGAAAGGTCGGCGCGGGCTGGCCTCTCAGGAAAACATCTTCGGGCGCTGCGCAGCAGACGAGCGGCGGCCGGGGCTGGTTGGGAGCGTCGCACTGGGTGGGTGGGCTGCGGCGCGGCGTGCAGGCCCCGCTGCCCGATAGGGCTGCCGGCCGGCCAGGGCGGCAGGCCCAGACGGTGTGACGTGGCCGGGCAGTCCGCGATGACGCGGCGCAGTGTGCCAGCCTGAAGCCTTTCGGCCTGCAGACCGTGGCCTTGAGCGGACGCAGACGGCCCGGGCGCCGTACTACGAGCTGACAGCGATGTCAGAGATGTGCCCCTGCACCGCGCTGCCGTATCAGATCAGTATAATCAGCCCCCAGCTGCTACAATGGAGGCATTGACTTGTCTGGCACGAACTGGACCTTTTTTTTGTTACCGACAAAAGTGAGTGTTGTCATTTGCAAGGCAAACGTTTCATTTCTATGGTTACATATCTAGATATATTACCACTTAACACAACGCTCTAGACATGATGCCTTTCTCTGTGTCCCTTTCTCCGCGCTGATGGGGCCTTATCAGCGACCGCCGGTGGACCGCAGCGCCGCCGGTGGCCGGTCCACGTGTCGCAACTTGTCTGCGTCTGGCTGGAGAGCGGCCGGACCGAGTGACCTGTATCCAGGGCGACCTCCGGCTCCCGACCTGTATCCGGGTGGGAGGTGCGTGACGCGCTCCCCGCCGCCGCCGCCGCCGCCGCCGCCGCTGCTCCGGTCGGCACCGGCGCCGCGTGAGGTCACCGCCCGGGCCGGCCGGGGTCACGGCTCGCGGCGGACCGAGGTCATCGGTGTCAGGCGGAGGCAGGCCGTACCCCGCCGGCCAGGCACGACCAGCCGACTGCGCTGCTGGGGCCGCCGCCTGACTCACTGGGGAGCGGTGTGCGGCTGACTCGGCGCTCAGAGGCTCCTCGTCCGAGCGCCGACCTGCACCGCGCCTCGGTCGCCCTGACGTGTCCTCGCTGGCCCTCAGCTCGCCGCGGCGCCGCTCACTGCCGACGCCAGGATGCTGCGGTCGATAAATCCCGAGCCGCAGTGTGGTTATATATGGGCGGACATTCTGGAGCCTACGCGGACATGTGGCGTGCGTTGCTTCGCGTCCTGCCCGACCACCCGTCCTGCCCCTCGGGTGGTTTTCCTCACCACCCGCCCGGCGACAGACGTTTGGAGGCTAGGGAAGATCACGTGCTGCGCGGGTGGCCACCAATCAGCACTACAAACTTGCCCGTTGTGCAGTGTATCACGCTGGAGGGTGGCGCCAAACTCGGAGTGCAGCCAATCAGTGTGACTCCCCAGTCGTGCAGTCTTATCATGCGGAAGCGAGGCGCCTGATTCAGACTGCTGTCAATCAGGACCGCTCGCTCCCCGTGCCGTTTATCGAGTTGGGTAATAGCGTCCAATCTGGACTTTGATCAATAAACGGTGTCTGCACGCCCTTGCGCAGCGCCTCGCACGGATAAGTGTTGCGTGGGCTAGGCTTTTGTCAGTGTGTCAACTCAGCTGTCACGTCCCGTCGGCACGGTGCGACCGTTGCTGCGTGGCGTCAGAGCCGCGGGGTTTTACGGCCTCCCGCGGCTCAACACCCGGCCGGGGTCGGAGGTCGGCAAAGGAAAGGAGGAAAACGTGCGCGCCGTGTCATGTGGCGTGGCCCAAGGTGTGCGCCGGTCCCGCCGGCCGCTGCCCGTCTCCGGACCCGGTACCATGATGTCTCTCTTCCCGCAGGCACCACCGGCTGGAGGAGTCGATGCGTGAGGAGGGCCTCTCCGAGTCACAGAAGGTCGAGAAGCGACAGCAGCATGCCGTGAAGGAGACGGAGTTTCTGCGGCTCAAGCGCGCCCGCCTCGGTGTGGAGGACTTCACGCCCATCAAAGTGATCGGCAAGGGCGCCTTCGGAGAGGTGAGCGCGCGCGGCCCCGCCGGTAGGACGCATCGCCCCGGTCGTGACCGGAACCGGGCTGCCGCCCCGCAAACGCGGTCCTGACGTCACGCGGCGGACGCCGCGAAACAAAGGAGGCCGGACGGGCGTGTTGGCCGGCCGTGGAGACGGCTGCGGCGACGGCGACGGTCGTCAGGCCGCCGTCAGGCCCGCCCGCCCGCCCGGCCGCCCGGCCGCCGCTGTGCATATAGGTATTCGGGGAACGGCGTCCGGCGGCGCCGCGCCGGGCCGGGCCGGGCCGGGCCGCATTGCAGTGGAGCGTGATCGATGGTGGGCGCCGGCCGGCGCCGGTCGGGCCACCGGCCGTGACCTTGCGGTTGTCGCCGCCGGCGCCGAGGTCCGGCGGCCGGTCAGCCCCCCCCCCCCCCAATCCTCGCGCTCGGCGGTGCCTCTAGCCGCGGGAAGAGTTGCGTCCCGGGCGTGTGCGTCATTTTCGCCGGCGGGGGGCTCGCGGTGATTAAGGGGATCTCTTGCGCTTGTTTTTGTTGCATGCGGCCGCCACAACTCTGGGCCAAGGGCGTTGCTGTTGGAAGCGATTGCCCTGTTGTCGCTGCCTGAGTCCTTGAGGTGTGCGCGCTGTGATGCAACCGGGGTGTCGCCAGGCCGCCGATGTCCCCCACTAAACTGATGGCCTCCAGACGACGCGCTGCACCGCCCGGCTAGTAGTGTGCTGGGAATCCACGCCACAGCCTGTCGGTTATACCTGTTTGTCAAAAGCAGTAGGCAAAGTGCAGCCTGCAGCGCAGAAGATGCATACAAAACCAGCCCTGAATTTGCTTTATCGGCTGAAAAAGTCGTGGTACACAAGAAGTGGTCGCTTGTGCCCGATCCTTTGTGGCAGGTGTTGCTGGAGAGCGATTGTAATTGACGCCGAGAAATTCCACGCTAGGTCTCCCTCTCTGGTCCAGCTGGGCTGACGCCGCCCCATGCCTGCTGTGTCGCCATTGATCAGCATAATATGGCCGGAGTGGAGTGGATATGTTCACGAATGGTGCATAGGCCTCGCTGATTATGCTCTAGAAAGGACACGGGTAACCAATGTATCCAATGTCCTGGCAATCAAAGCCTTCACTTCTGCCCCGCACGGTACTGGTTCGTGCTGGTGACCTTGGCCCATCGTGAGTGTATTGACCTTCGGTGGTGCGATGGTGCCCCATTATGGGGGTATCGACCTGTGATGGTGCGACGGTACCCCATCGTGAGGACATTACTCTGTGATGGTGTGGTTGTGTCCCGTCATAAAGGGCATTGCCACACCTGTGACAGTGGCCACCGTCAGGGCATTGAACGGTGTTGGTATGGTGGCTCCCCGTCGCCCATAGCTGTCGATATGTGGTAGTGTGCCGGTGTCCCATGGCGAGGATATTAACTCCTAAGGGCGTGACGATGGTGATCGCGAGGATATTGACCCGTAAGGGTGTGACGGTGGCCATCGCGAAATGTTTGACCGGCATCATCGTCACGGCATTCCACGTTAAGCAAACTGACGTGTGACGCCGAGCCGTGTGTTCGTGACGACGGCTTCCGCGTGGTGTGGCGATCCGTGCGACGCCGCTGACGGCGGCGCGCCGGTGCACTGACCCGCCGCCGGGGCACGGAGCAGCACGCGCCGTCCGTGCCGTGCCGCGCCGCTCCGGTGCCGCTCGTGCCGGGCCGGGCCGCCGGCGCACGGCAGCTGGCCGCGCGGCCGCCAACTGGCGCTGTGACGGCCGCCGCCCGGCTGGGCCCGGCCCGTCCGGCCGGTCCGTGGGCGGCCGAGCCGGCGCCGCTGGCCGGAGCCGGCCGCGCGTGAAGGGCGACGGTAGCTGACCATGCCGCTCGTCCCGGCCCAGCGGTCGCGGCTCTGTCTCTGTCTCTGCTCCGTCTCTGCGTCTCTGTCTCTGTCTCGCTCGGTGGTGCGGGCTATCGCTCTCAGTCTGCGCGCTGGGTCTCCACATCTCTCGTTGTCTCTCTCGGCTGAGCTTAATCCGCGCGCTCGGTCTCTGCCTCTTTGTGTCGGCTTCTTCTGCCTCTGTCTCGCTCGGTCAGGCCGACTCTTTCCCTCACACCGCCCGCTGGGTCTCTGCGTCCTTGCCCCAGGGCTGCTTGTCGTCTTCTTTGTTGTTCCTCAATGTCGCCCATTCCCAGTTTACTTGTGTCCACTTGCCGGCTGTCTCTCGTTTCCGGCGCTCTCCAACTCGGTGCGGTCCTCAGTCCCGCTCTCCGACCTCATGTATCTCTGTCGTTCGATCTCCGTCCAGTCCCCAGCCCCAGCTCTCTGTGTCCTCGCGTCTGTGCCGCCGCCCGTGCCAATCAGTGCGCCGGCCGTTTCTCCCTCCATTGATCCCGGGCGGAGCGGCCGGCGGCGGACGGCGGGCGCGGCCCGGCGGACGGCCCGCACACCTGGCTGGCCGCGCCCGCTCGCCGCGCCAGCCGCCGGCCGACGTGGGCCGACAGCGTGCAGGCGCTGCAGGTCCGCCGCCGGCAGACGTCCGGCTTTCCCTTGCAGTCGCACCTGACGCGCGAGGCTGCCCCTCTGCAGATGAGGTCGCCGTGCAGGTGGTCGGCCGCGGCCGTCCGCTGGGTCAGAATAAAGGGCGCGCGCGCGCGCGCGCGCGCGCGTGTGTGTGTGTGTGTGTGTGTGTGTGTGTGTGTGTGTGTGTGTGTGTGTGTGTGTGTGTGTGTGTGTGTGTGTGTGTGTGTGTGTGTGTGTGTGTGTGTGTGTGTGTGTGTGCGTGTGCGCGTGCGCGTGCGCGTGTGCGTGTGCGGTGTGTGTCCCTGCGCTTTCGATAAGGACATGCCTTTCTCTCAGGCGTGGGACCTTCGTTCCGTTGCTGAGAGGGACTGTTCCCTTCAAGGTTAAACAAACGCACTTGGTTTTTTTTCGCAACTATTCGTCGACATTGTCCCCCTCTTGCTGAGTCGGGTTTGTTAGCACAAAGGCGGCCGTCCGTGAGACCGTGGAGAAACGTATACCGTTGTCATGCACGACCAGATGAGAATCTGTGCTCACGACTCGGACAGCGGCAGCCACCGAGCGGGCTCCGGGTTCGGGCCCAGTGTGGTCGAACGAACGCGATGGCTGGTGACCGCGGAGCTAATTTGGAGCTGGGTTCGGGCGACCGCGGCGTGCCCCGCGACCCGTGCTGGGCGGCCTATCGCTCCCGGTCTGTTGCCACCTGGCCACCGCCGAGTACCTCGTGCCTGGCTAGCGCAGAGAGCGGCGGCCAGCGCCGAGCTTCCTCTGGACGAGGTGGGGGTTGCAGTAGCGCCGCGGCTGACGCGTCTCTCCCGCCCGCTTCAGGTCCGCCTCGTCCAGAAAAAGGACACCGGCCATGTGTACGCGATGAAGGTGCTGGCCAAGGTGAAGATGCTGGAGAAAGAGCAGGTGGCGCACGTGCGCGCCGAGCGCGACATCCTGGTTGAGGCCGACCACCAGTGGGTCGTCAAGATGTACTACAGCTTCCAGGACGCCATCAACCTCTACCTCATCATGGAGTTCTTGCCGGGCGGTGAGTGGGTCGGTGGGGCGCCGAGATGGCCGGCTCGGTGTCCGGCTGACCGGCGGGAGCTGTAGTGACGGCTGCCGTCGTCGCGTGCGCTCGGCGCGGCAATGGCTGAAGCTGTCAGGCGCTGCGCCATCGGTGGCCTTTGGTCGCCGCGTGCGCTGGTGGTGCGTTGCATCACTTCACCTCGCTGTGCGCGAGGCTGACGTCCAGATGAGGCGTGCCAAATCATGAATTATTCTCCCCCCCCCCCCTCTCCTCCTTCGATTCTTCGATTGGCTACTGATATGCAATAAAGGATTGAATGATTGCTGTGTAAGAGGTGAGTGTTGCAGGCGGTTTCAAATGTGAGTGTTAAAGGTCGGTGTCCGTTGCAGCCGTTGTGCTTAAAATGAGTTTGCGGGTTCCTCATGTTGGCTGATATCGGATGTAGATGCTGTTCTTTTCGAGTTATATTGAGAACTGATTTATGGTCGATATGGAAAATAGTTGGCGCTGGTGAAAATTGGTGTCGATTCAGCAGTCATTTTATCATTTGTATCGCACATGTACTCGTTCACATCCGCTTCGGCACCCCTGTCATTTGCGTTCCCTTATCGCTGCCGTCTGCTGGAGGCTGGAGACCGTCCCTGGGCAGTGCCGCACCCCCGGGGCCATCTGGCGACCCGAACCCACCCGCGCGCGTCACCCACAGGTCTGCCCGCCCGGAGCCGTGCCAAATCTGGCGCGCGCCGGCTGGCAGCATGGCTGGCTTACCCTAAGCCCACTATACCGCTGTGTTTTCATCTGGCAGCGCTAGTAAGCCCTCGATGTTTCATCCGCCGCCGTTTATCGTCCTCATAAATGAAGTATTTCGCTCGACAAGAGAGGGACCTTGGCCGGGTGACGGGCGCGATGGGGGTGGGCCGGGTGCGGACTTCGATTGACCTGCGTAGTGCCGGCTGACCGGGCGCTGGCGAGCACGATCGATGGTCGACGAGTCAAGGGCGTCAGGCCGGCGGGCCGCGGTGCCGCCGGCCGGATCATCATAACGGCACTGGTGTGTGCCGACGTTGCAGCCGGCTCCCGGGACACAGACGGGAGGTCACCGACGTCCCGGGTCGCCTCAGAGAAAACAGGCGGGAGGTCACCGAACGTCCCGGGTCGCCCCAGGGAAACAGCGGGAGATCAACACGTCCGGGCCTCGAGAAACAGGCGGGAGGTCACCGACGTCCCGGGTCGCCTCAGAGAAACAGGCGGGAGGTCACCAACGTCCCGGGTCGCCTCAGAGAAACAGACGGGAGGTCACCGACGTCCCGGGTCGCCCCAGGGAAACAGACGGGAGGTCACCAACGTCCCGGGTCGCCCCAGGGAAACAGACGGGAGATCACTAACGTCCCGGGTCGCCTCAGAGAAACAGGCGGGAGGTCACAGACGTCCCGGGTCGCCTCAGAGAAACAGACGGGAGGTCACCGACGTCCCGGGTCGTCCCAGGGAAACAGACGGGAGGTCACTGACGTCCCAGATCGCCTCAAAGAGACAGACGAGAGGTCACTGACGTCCCGGGCCGCCCCAGGGAAACAGACGGGAGGTCTCACCGACGTCTCACTCGTCCCAGCTCACCCACGGGACAGGACAAGCGTCCCGCGTCTGTCTCTTCAGGCTCAGCGATGCGTCCCTGTTCGAGGCATTGCTGGGAGTGCAACGACGTGACATCGATGGCAGCTCACTCCCAGGACGTGGGAGGGGGGGGGGGGGGGACGCCAACGCCAACGCCACCGCCACCCTTCGTAGTCCCAGTGGTCCGCGACATCGACAGAGACGGATGGCTTTCACTTCGTGGGCGGGCATGAGCCACCAAATCCATAGCGTATGCCAGCAATTGACCGCCGAAAAGGTGGATCTTCATCTTGCAAATTCCCGCAAGACCCTCGCGCTTCGGTGGGTCGTTTACTCAGAGCACACACAGCACACCAGTGAAACCGGCCGGCGTAACAGCGGCTCGTGCTGGCGTCGGTGCCTGTCACCGCCGGCTGTGCGTGGCGGTGAGGCGGCGGGCGCACGGCGCCACCGGCACCGACACCGGCATGGGGAGGTCGGTGGCAGCGGCGCGGCGCAGTGCAGTTCAACGCTGGCGCCCGGCTGCAGCCGACCGTCAGCCATGTCATCGCGCGTCTCGGCCTGGCGGCGGCGCGCCGCGAAGCGGGCCGACCTTTGGGCGCTGCGGGGCCGCCGGCGGTCGGCGGCGCTGCGGTCGCGCCAGGTCGGTCCCGCCCCGCCCCCACTGCCGCCGGCTGACGAGGCGGCGGTGAACGAGCCGGGCCGGGGCCAAGTGACTGACCCGCGGTGCCGGCTCGGCCGAGTGACTGACCTGCCGCGCCGGCTCGGCCGAGTGACTGACCTGCGGTGGCCGGCTCGGCCGAGCGAGAAACGCCGTCCAAACGGAACAGGCGCGCGGCGGAACCGAGTGCGGCGAGGCGTGACGGACGCGCGGGCGGCGGTTAACCGCCTTTTAGCCCTCCCCTCGTGACATACCCAATAAAAACACACCCCACACCACACACACACAGCACACACACACGCACGCACGAACGCAACGCACGCACCACACACACACCACACACACAGGTCACACTCCGCACCACGCACGCACTCACGCACGCACAGCACGCACGCACGCACGCACGCACGCCACGCACGCACGCAGCACGCACGCAGACAGTGGCTTCGTCGTCCACAGTGGTTGTGTGGGGGGCGCGGCGATGACGGGTCCAGTTGGGGCGCTGCGGCGCTCATGACCCAGGCTCCCCGTGTGACGGGGTCCGGTCTCCGCCCCCGTAGGCGGACATGATGACGCTGCCCCTCATCCAGCGGGAACACGCTGTCGGAGGAGTGCTCGCA